ACACAATTTGTTAATTTACTTATCTATTCATTCTATTTTTCTTTATTCTTTTTTCATCCTCAGCGACCTTCGACAGCTCACACCTAGATATGCAAGGTGTTAAAAATGTGTTCAAATTTGTTAAGAAGTGTTACAGTATTCCGGATGGCACTAAATTTTCAAGAATACGAATATGACACTGTATCTCTTCGATTTTTATCCTGAAATAAAATGAAAAAATTAAAGTAAAGACGTAAGGAGGGGGAGGGAAGAGCAAGGATTTTTTTTTTTTTTAGATATTACAAATGATACCGCACCATACCTAATGCAACTACCATTTTTTATCTAGACCAAATAGACACGAGTGCCTAGAAGTTGCAAGACTAAATAGTTAATCCATACGTTACATCCTTATTTTTACACAATACCCGTTTGTTTTTTGTTTTATGTTTTATTAAATTCTTGCACTGTTTTACTTCTTCGCAATGGTTTCCTGTTAATAAAGTGTCTCCTATGATAATAACTGACATTACATAATAATTATTACTAACAGCAAAGCAGCAGCGGCTCTTGGCAACTCAGAGGACAAAAAATAAAAATAGAAATAAGGCAAGATATGTATTCCTTCAATTTCATTTATCAGATGAATATTTCAAACCGATGCATTTAACACTAATGACTTTTTCTGAGAAGTGAATGCATTTCTCATTAGGGCACTAATCAGTGAATGAAGTAATGATCCGTATGAAATTGAAAAATACCCAACTACTCTGCGTCTCGTTTTATTAACACATTATTCTTTGTTCCATTCTGGCCATGGAAAATTGCAAATGTATATCTGTCTTTCATTTTCTATCCTTTTTACCTCTTGTACATTCATTGCTCCTGATATAGAGAGTGGGAGTGATGTGGCTTGCGACTTTCGCAATAAACTATATATTTTGCTGTATCTAGTGATTCGTGATTAATGACACTATAAATCCCCAAATAAATCGTGCGTGATATTTTAATAAGTATCGCGCACTGATTAGCCGGTAACATAGAGCCTAAAGCCACAGTTCAACTGCCTTGTGTACGAGCAGGTCTGGCCGTAAGCTGGCCATCTGGGCCGGACCGTCCAAATAACCAGACCTAGAGCGCTCTGTGTCCCGGGCTTTACAGGGTGCAATTAAAAACGTCTGGAATTCGCTTAAAGAAGGTATCCTTAGTGAGTCGACAAAA